CATGGTTTCTATTACTCGTACTCAACGTTATAGCAGAGTAATTTATAACTTATTGCGAAGCAAAGCGCCTACCTTCTTCATTTTAATATAAATAATATCGTTATAAAAAAAAAAAAAATAGAAAACAGTGTTATAGCCCGTTGATTGGGGCATGTGGCTATGTGTAGTAAGTTTTACTTATAAGTATTTGTACATGAGACGTATACGTACCCTAAAATAATGCAATTGAAAATAAACAGTTAAGTCTGAAAGGACTTAATTATACGGAATTTGTCCACAATTATGTGCCTTTCCGTTGTAATACAACATTGACAAGTCTAAGTATTTTTTTTTGAGTATATCGATATTTTTACACTGGGATGAGAGGGAGTTCGGCGAAGCCACATAATGGGTAGCCTAACTTAGTATTGAATTCGTCATCCACGAGATTCAAACCTAAGACTTCTTACTTTTAAGTGAAGAGAAATACCACCAAACCGTAATACTAAGTGGTAAGTATAAGTGTTTTAATATGTCATTATTTTAGTAGATTGAGACACCACATGAGAATAAACATGTATCATATAAATTCCTTGATATTTACCTTCAACAGTCTCATTTTTTATTTATTAAATTTTATCATGACAATTCATTTCTCGTACTAACCTTCAACAGTCTCACTTTTTATTTATTAAATTTTATCATGACAATTCATTTCTCTTACTTTTTATTTATTAAATTTTATCATGACAATTCATTTCTCGTACTAACCTTCAATAGTCTCACTTTTTATTTATTAAATTTTATCATGACAATTTATTTCTCGTACTACAAACGCGGGAACTACGAATTACTAAAGGAAATTTGCAGCTGTAAACTTCAACTCCCCTCGTGATTCGCGTTATTGTCTCTTTCATTTTACTATTTTATGTCCCACTAGAGCCGGCTCTAACCGCAGTGCTCCCACTCTCCCCACCAGTCCGCCTGAAATCAACGGCTGAGATCATCCGCCGTATATTGGTCAAACGAGTCGTGGGTTCGTTCAAAGGTGGTGGGGGGTACGCTGTTCGAGCAAGTGGGTGCATGCAAAAATAATGCATTCTACACCCATGGAGGATCGAGTGCGGGTCCAGGCTGCAGGTCCATGCTCTCTCGGTGCAGGCAACCACTCTCCAAAAATTAAGAATCCCAATTTCTTTTAAGAACCCCCGCCCCGTGACTACCTTGACTTGAGGGCACCACCGTCGATTCGTTATCAGAAGGACTCGCATTAAGCATTTCGAACGAAAATGTAGGGTTGGTTTGAAAGTGCTTTCAAAATCATTAAGAATGTATTCGGTGAATTTGTTTTTAGATTTTAATAGCACTTGAAGTGATTTTTGCAAGAAGTACATAAATATTTCTTTTTTTCCAGAATTTACTTGTATTTTTATTGGATTAGTTATAGTAGCACTTTCATCGAAAGTGTTTTCAGTTATTTTAAAAGCATTTCCGAACAAGCCATTATGGTAATTATTTGAATTTATTTCTTCATGCTAATCCACATCATTTTTCTTTACTACGCATTCATCTTATTTATGAACATTGCATTGTATAAATTAAATAAAAACAAAGAATTATAACATAAATCAAGTGGAAATAACAAACTCAACTTTCAAGTCGTTTATCGGACAACCGGTTAAGAATTTGTTAAAATAACATATTTGAAATTACATTATCTGTTAATATAATGAATACGACATAACACAACACGATCTGCTAAGACAGTGGTTTGAGCTCTAATAAGTGCAATACCAAACAAGTCTTTAGAAACACATAAAAAATCTTATTAAAAATTCAAGTGCATATAAGGTACTCAAAAATGCTTTTGAAAGAAGCACTAGATTTTATAAGCGCTTTTAAATTTTCAACCAAATCGTAGAAACGCTAGTTGTCAAAAAACCATTTTTAACCTTACTGTGTGGCCTCTTGATTTATTCTGTAAAGTCGGGTTATCATTGGGCGCACTGTCCGGTCATTCCTAGGATCCCCCATAGCTCCTCATCGACTGTAACCACCTCGAAGTTATTTTGGAAGTTAGTGTGGAAGCTCAAAACTCCCCAAAAAAATCAGGCATTTCATGTGGAAGACGTTGCATATTGCCCCTGCCCACTATGGAGGCTCTTTGTAGAAGGAAATTGGATGTTTCACTCATTTGCCCTCTATGCAACACTCATGAGGAATCGATTGAGCACCTATTTCTCCTTTGGCCGTGGGGACGCTATTTGGTTTGGGGGAGCTTTAAACTATAAGGTCAATAGGAATGAGGTAACAGCATGTAGGAATTGGCTTCTGGCAATCATTAGGGCCAATGATAATTTGAAGGCTGATATGGAGAGGATTTTGTCTATGGTTGCCTTATCTTGTTAGCATTTTTGGAAAGCTCGATGCTGTTTTCTCTTCCAACAGAAACATATAAACCTGATACATGTGCTGTCAGCAATCTCAACAAGTGTTGGCGCATTCCAAGAGGCGACGCAAGCTCCCACTGTGAGCATGGTGCAACATGGACTTGGTAGCACTGGGCAGGTTCGTTGGCTGCTGTCGTGTCTTCTGATAGGATTAAAAGCACACCATAAAGTAGCACACAAATGTCCTATTAATTTTTCTTATTAACAAAAAGATTTATCAATTGAAGCATATGAAAATAAGGGTCTTTCCCGCATAAGATTGTTTTATCTAACTACTTAGAATGTCACAAAAACTGGGCTGTTGTCCCTACTGACCAGCCACCGAAAAATAATTATTAGACTGACTTACACTTATCTAAAGTCTACGAAATTTTATATGCATATATCAGACACACAGAGCTATACTCACACAAATTTTTGGGATTTTTGGAGTTGATTTGATATTTAAATTAAATCGAACAAAAACAAGACAGAGACAGATTTTTAAGTAGTTCACAAATTATGAAAAACGAGTTAGGGAATTGCTATCCACCACCAAATAATCATGCAAACATGTTATGTTTCATTCAAATTCCTTTCATTTTTGGATGAAGATGCTCAAGTTAACTCAATGTTAGAACTCAACTTATTACTCTTTCTTATGTAGTATGTTAAGAGAATGGCGTTTTCAACTTAACTTAGTCCCTAACATGCAATCTCGAATGGTGTGTTCATAAATTTAACAAGTAGAAATCATTAAGAACGAAAAGAGTTTGAGTCATCACAAGGCATTGTAAGTACTAGCGTTGTCTTACTAATCCTAGAAATTGGTTCACATGTTAATCACAATTAACAAGTACTACTCTAGAACATGTGTAGGTCCTCATTCGACAAGGGTAGGCACACACATATTCATAGCATTAGAATCCTAGATATACTTACTAAGTATGCATCCATAGAAAACACATAAAGAATTCATCAATGAGACAAGTAGTGAACCAATTTTCATCCATTCATAAAAGTAATTCAAACGAAATGTCATAACAAACTTGCAATCATATTCAGGGCTTCAAACAGCCCCTAACTACTAAAAATTTAGTTACACAATCCTTAAGTTAAAATAAAAGATAGACATAAGTTTGAGAAAATAGAACCGAAAGAAATCGACTAAAGTTCTCCCCCCTTTCCTTCCTTCCCCAATGCTACTTTTAAACCAATTCTTGCTTCATCATTTTCTTCTCCTTAACTCACCCACTAATAGCCATTTAGTGATGACAATAAGTGAGAGGATATGTAAAACAATTGTAACTCCTTGGGCAGCCTTTATGCCAATTACTCCCTCTTAATCCTCATCTTTAATTCCATTTCCTCTTATATTTGAATAGGTGTCAGCTGGTTTGTTCTTGATTGCATCAGATTTGGCTACTAGATTTATTGGAGTTATTGCTTTCAATGTTTTATTGTCAGTTACAAACTGCTCAGCCTCTTGGGAACCTTTCAATGTTCAAGCGGCCATAACTTCTTCTAGAAAAATGATCTTAACAATCCGCGAAATGCTCCAAAAAATAGACATCCGTAGCTTTCCAAGAATATAAGGCTCATTCTCTAATTCATTCTGAGCTGTCCGAAACTTGCTTCCAAAGTCAGCTGACCTGCACAGGCAGTTTTGACGAATTTGTTACTTAAAATTCCACTTGTGCTAATTTTCTTTTCTTTGCTTGACATATCCTACAAAACGCAAAAACAAAGTAAATAGCTCAAAAATATAAGGAACTAACTAAGAAAAGAAAAGTGAATTTGATGTAAAATTTATATAAATATGAGCTTATCATCTTCCCTTTGTAAAAATTAACGTTGACGCAAATTGGGCTGCTGCGACAATTGTGGGTTTTGCAAGGGTAGTGGTCCATGATTCTTCTGGCAGTTTCATTGCTGCTCGAAGATCCAGGCTTAGTGCGCTTTGTGTTGAGGTTGCAGAAACGTTGGCATTGGAGCGTGGATGTGAGTTGGGTTTATCGTTGGGTCTGAACCATGTAGTTGTCGAATCTGATTCGAAGAAATTCATTTCTTGCCTGTGGGGAAACATATCCAATGGCAGATGGGAGGCTTTTCCAATTTTAGCAAGGTGTAAGAAACTCGGGGAAGCCTTTCAGGTCTGTCGCTGGTCTTGGATCCCAAGACCAGCCAATATGGTGGCTAACCTCTTGGCGTCGCAAAGATGTGTGGAGATGTGTGACTTTTCTTGGTTGATCGACCCTCATCTTCAATTGTGCATGTACTGAACAACGATGGATTACCTTGTCCACCTTAATTTTGTGTTGGTTGTGCAAGGGGGGACGCTTAGAGCTTTGCTTGCAGTGTCAAGTCTCTTCTATCCCCTTGTACGTCCTGTCTTTTTTTTGGTTGTTTGCCTTATGGGGGGGCTTTCGTTGTTATCTTTAGCATCTCTTGTCTTGGTTAATATTTTCAGTTTACAAAACATAAAAAAAAAAAAAAAAAAAAAAAAAAGAGAGGAAGTAAAATACCAAACGTACCCTTATTATATCACTCCTGGCCTTTCCATTAACTCCGCCAACCCCTTTAAAAAGAACCAGAAAAGCGGGAGACACAGATAAAAGGCGTAGTAGCCAGTGTGAGAGAGAGAGTTATGGAGAAATCTAAGCTAATAAAGTGAGTGAGTGAGGGAGAGCGACGAAATTAACATAAATAGTGTTTGGAGAGAGGGAAAGTGAGATATTTTCCGAGAAAAAAAAATGAAGACTGGAAGAATGGTGCAAGAACAGAACCTGGAGAAGCAGATGGGGTGCATGGCTGGCTTCCTCCAGATCTTCGATCGCCACCAGCTTCTCAACGGAAAACGCCTCAACTCCACCAAACGCCTCCCTCCCTCGGCGGTGAGTTTTCCATTTATTATCTGTTTGGTTCCCAGGAAAATGTCCAGAGTTTCAATCTTCACTTCTTGTACTTTCTGTTTGACTGCATTTAATTTATCATTTATTGAAACTCATTTATTGAGACTCTCTCAGACGGTGGTATCGTCGCCAGAGTCGGAGTCGGCCATGTCGCCGGAGATATCCAAAGAATTGGAAAAACAACCGCAGAACAAGACGGCACCGTCTCCGGACCGATCGAAGCAATCTCCATCTCCGACGAAAGATCTCCGATCTCCATCGCCAGAAACTCGCGCTCCTCCGTCACCGGAACCTCATCCGAAATCTCCTCTTCCGCTTCCAGTTTTCGAATTCAAAGAAGGCACGAGGTCCTCGTGGAAGTTCTCCAGAGAAGCACCGAGGCTCTCACTGGATAGCAGAGCCACCGTCGACGCCAAGGGAAGCCTATACCCGAGGGAGATCCGAACAAACGCCGCCATACTAACCGCCGGTCGGAGCTCCGCCGACGGAGGAAGCGATAGTGACAAGCAACACCGATCACCGAGCGTTATCGCTAGGCTAATGGGACTCGAACCGTTGCAGATGTCGGATCCAGAACCGATTAAGCTCCGGAGATCTTCGTCCGAATCCAGAGTGAACCGAGACCTGAAACAGTACCGGTTCGTCGACGGCAACAATTACCAGCAGAAGCAACCGCCGCCACAGAATGTGCAGAGCCATAATTTCTCCGGCAATGTAGGCAAAGACGACCGGAGCTCCAATCGGGGCTCCTATCCGAGGCAGCCGGATCCGAAGAACAATGCGAAGGCTCAGAGCAAAGGAATGGCGCAGAGAAAGTGCTTCTTCAACTCGGCGGACTTCTTCCCCGAGCCGAAGCAGAGAGCCTCCGTTTACAACGAGATTGAGAAGCAGTTGATGATGCGAGGAATCGACGAGCGGTCGAAAGATATGGAGACGTTGAAGGAAATCTTCGAAGCTCTGCAGCTCAAAGGCCTCCTGCGCTCCAGGAAAGCTGCCAATCAGATTAATTCCAGAAACTTCTTCTACGATCGGAGCTTCCAGTCGCCGATCGTAGTGATGAAGCCGTCCATATCGCCGAGCTCGGTTCACCGTGCAGCCAGATTCGGAAACGACTCGCCGCCGCCAAGTTCGGGATTTAGGTCGAGAGCCGGAGTTCGCCGAAACGGCGAGGTATCACCTGCGGTGAGTCCTAGGCCCGACCGGCCGGAGAATGCACGGAGCCAGACTAGAGGGAGGAGTCCTGCCGCGCGAGAGGGCGGCGTGAGGAGTCCGAGTCGGAGAGGAGGACCGTTATCGATCGAAACGCAGCGGAAGGGGAATGATTCGGTGGAGCAGAGGAGAGTATCTCCGGTGCATTCGCCTAAAGTCAGTTCGAGAATACCAGATCAAACGCCCACGAATCGATCTCCCAGGTACATCAAGAAACCAACGGTTGAGATTGCTCCAAGTGAGGAAAAGGCCCTCCATCGGGCGGAGGACGAATCGTCCACCACCATGTCAGAGAGCAGCGTTAGCAACAGCACCTCGTCACAAGCCGAGACAGAGGTACATTAATCATCATCAAAATCTTAATTAACGTAATTAGTTCATGTTTAATTAAGTAAAATATGATTAACGGTTTTGGTTAATTAATTTTGCAGAGGTGGAAGGCGGAAGAGTACAAAGAAGGGAGGAGTTTGTTGGAGAGGTGTGATAAGCTGCTTCACAGCATAGCTGAGTTGCAACCGAGTCCTGTCTCGGTTCTCGACTCGTCGTTTTACAAAGAGGAATCTTCGCCTTCGCCAGTCATGAAACGCAGCATTGATTTCAAAGGTAAATAATATAAGAATAGGATTCTCTCTCATCCTCTCTTCATATCTTCATATCGGTTACTTGATTGCCCACTTACCTGCATTTGGTACGTCATGTTGTCTAAACCAATTGTTTTCTTACGTTTTAACTTGACTGCTTAACTCCGGTGGAACAAAACAACTTGTTTTAAACTTATCTGTAAGGCGATGCATGATTGGCTTGCGATGCTGCTAATTTGTCATTTAGCTGCATGGAAGTTTGATTTTGCACTGCCGTGCCATGTGTTTCAGAGGAATGGATGATTTGCTTGAAATACCACTAGTATGGTATTCTAGTTGCGTGAAAACTCAATCACGCACTGTCATGTCATGCATTCCAACTTGACCACGCTTGTTTCAATTCAAATATCACTAATATGACATTTCAGTTGCATGAAAGTATCATTCAAGTTGCCTACGTGGCCTTGAGATGGCAAGTATTTTGTGTGTAGCAGTACTCTACCTAACTAGGCTCTGCTTTTAGCCTTCTAGGTTAACCAGTACTCTACTAGAGATTTGTATCCTCTCTTGAGTTCAAGAAAATGATCCTTCAGACCAAGCAATGTGGGCCGTTGGATTTTCATCTAACGGTTATAATTAATATAATTTTAAAAGGATCTCCTTATTTGTAATCGTTGGATAAAAATTCAATGGTCCACACTGCTTGATCAGAAAGATCTTCTTCTTAGGCTCAGGAGAGTCCAAATCCCTCTACTAGTACCCTGTTCTTGTGCTGCACTCTGCACCCAGTGAATATTTCCAGTTAAAGTCAATACCTTCCAATAAATACCTGCCACATCGGCGTAAAAAAATCCAGGATCCAAACTCTTCCACGGAGGCAGATTGTCTGCCCTTTTGTGTGGGTGTCTTTTCCATCCCCTTATATTTGTGCGATCACGGTTAAGCCACGCCAATATTTTATATTTCTATTGTTTTTTATCTTATTATTTCTATAAAAAAATTAATATAAAATGTTGACGTGGCTTAACCGTGACCGAACAAAATAGGAACAAAATAGGAGGGGATGAGAAGGGCACTAAATAGGAGGGCAGACAATCTGCCTCCCTCTTCCACCTCAGCCTTTTCCTATGCTTAATCACAGGTGGATTGATTTGATTGGTGTTTCCATCTTAACGGGATGTCGGTAGGTGGTTGTGCTGTGTTGTGTTGTACTCTGTGATAGTGATACTGGTTGAAAACGACCCCGTTTTGTTATACCCCTAACTGTAATCGACGACAATGACCCACCAAATTTGCTATGGTTATTAGTAATTAGGGATTTTAATTTGGTTTGGTTGTTGAATTTAATTAAATTTAATTTTTGGTTTGATGAAACAGTTGAAATGGAAGACATTTGGGGCGAGGCAATGTGGGGCACTGAGTTCGAATCCAAAGACAGCGATTTCGTCTACGTATCGGAGATCCTGTGGGCTTCCACTTACTTACCGGAAGACTCCGACATTTTCCTATTACTAGAGAAGAAGCAACATTTCAAGGGAAAAGACACCTCTAAAGAGTCAACACTCGAGAGAAGGATCATTTTCGACACCATCACCGAAATTCTAGACCGAAACCGCCAATTGCCGCCTTGGAAGGCGGTCTCGTGGCAAACTTCCTTGCCTGAAACTTGGTCCGAGTTTCAAAGAATGCGGGAGAGGGACGACTCCGAGGACTTGTTCAAGGTCATATGCGGGATGTTGAAAAAGGACCTTGCCGGCGACGCAATCAACGGATGGGGAGATTGCTCCATCGAAATGTCCGACGCTGTTTTGGACATCGAACGGCTCATTTTCAAGGACTTGATCGGGGAAACGATCCGAGATCTCGCCGCTTTTCCCACCAGCTATATCAAAGTTTCGGCGCCTTGCAGGAAGTTGGTCTTCTAAAAGCGGAGGGAAAACAAAAAAAACATGGAAGTTTTCATTTGGCGCGCTTTTTAAATCATAATCCAAATTAAAATATAAAATATCATCCTTAGTTTTTAATTTTTGTTTGTTTTTAGATTAGAAATTCAACGGTCGATCTGGTTTTGCAAAATCTGTAAATTAAATGGTTGTTTATTGTAATTTGCAATATTATATTTTGCGAAATGCTGTGGGAAATTGGAAGTGGGTTGCTCTCAGGCATGTGCAAAAAGGGGAAAAAGTAAAAGTGGGAGGCTGAAAAGAGGACAATGTTTTCCGCGATAAAGCAAAAGATTTGATTGCACATGTTTTTGTCTCAAGTGATGAGTAAACATTCCATTCCATGGCTGCTGCTATCATTATACTCTCATCTTAATCTTAGTATTCGTTTAGATATACTTTTAAAATGATAAAAAACGTTTTTAGAGAGAGTTACAAAAGCGCTTTAAGTGCTTTTTCAGGATTTACTTGCATCTTTATTAATGATTGATTTTAAAAATATTTTCATCAAAAACATTTTTAATCATTGTAAAAATAAATCTAAACGAGCTTTTAATTAATAATAATCATTTTATACCTTAAAATTTTGAATCTCATTGTTTAAAAATTCATAATCTAAAAAGAATTGAAGAGAAAAGAAAGACTTATTTACACCCGTTATTACGGTAAAATCGCACAGCGCTTTGTATATTAGGTTGCTCACATGACATCACATAATTAATTAGAAAAAGCTGTCATGCAATCTAGCTTCCCAGTGCCATGACAGGGTAAGTTGCACAGTGCTTTGGCTAGTTACCTTCGGCCATTTACCTTACCCTACCTCAGTTTTATTGGACATTTTATCGACAAGTGAACATTAAACAATTTCATATGTAGCAATAGTGGATACATAAGGCAACTACATACACAAATCTTTATATCGATAAATCCATTAGTTTATGTGCGAATAAAATGTAACAAAATTATCAACGATCATGATGAAACCATACAAACATATTCGCGACTGATCCTAGCACTGTTCGTAATTTCTAGGTGGTCCAAAAGAAAATGACTTAACTAACTAACAAGCAAGAACTAACAACTAACAACAGTTAAGATCCTTTTTTTTTTTTTTACCTATTTTTTCTTACGAGTGCTACTCAAAATAGTTCGTCAAACAGTCCTTATTAGAATATGGTCCTCAAATTTTAATTAATTATTTGGATCACAAGCTTTTCTTCATGACTTCATTAAATTTTGTCACTGTTTTTATTTTCAAGTTGTAATAATCTACAGCAACAAGCCGATACTCTATTCAATTATGTGGTCCATCAATCATACAAAGTCAAATACTATTTTTTCAACTATTTTTATTCACTTGTCAAAATTTTGGACCTACTAGAGAAAAATCTCGATAAGCATGCCTGATCAGACGCCTAACTTTGGGCAATTGGATCTATTGAGATCAGATTCATACTTTTGTTACTGGTGCTCCCTACCGATGAGCTGATCGTTCATTCTTACTTAAGTTTTTCTTTGATAGGCATGCGCTTGTCCATAATGTAAAGGTTGTCTGTTTTTCTTCTCTTTCTTGCGCTTGGTTCATATGGTTTTTAAATTGTATCATTTCAATTTGGAAGATATTTATAAAATAAAAAAAATAAAAAAAAAAGTTCGAATTTGGTGGGGTTGTTAACATAGAAGGGGGTGCCAATCCATCTCTCTCTCAAAATTATTCTATGAGCAAAGAGAAATATATAAATCCACCTCATATTAAATATATTAAATATATATTAATCGTGCGGTACTTTTGTTCTCAAGGTTGAGAGAGGTTCGATATATAAACTCTCCATCCACTAAATTTGTTTATGACAATTTTCTTACTGTTCAATTGGAATTTGGTCATCTTCACCCAAAAACGTGATTAAATTTTGATAAACTATTAAATTAAATTTCAAAACGACAAGAACAATGAGTTATATATGATATGATGAGTTTGTTTCGTCTCTTACGATTTGTTTCGTCTCTTACGACAAACAAAAACACACACACAACTAATAGTGAATGTGTATGAGGTGCTAATCCCACCAAACAACTCGTATTCTTGCCTCTCGTATTCATACCAATTAAATTCCCCTGCTCCCACCCTAAGCACAAATGAATCAAGTAAAAAGAAATAGGGTCTTTGTCAAAAAACAAGTGAAAGATGGGGTCTTTGTCATGTAAAAAGGGCACAAGCTTATCTATGAATGTGTAAGAGATGTGGATGGGTTGTCTGGCAATGCCCACATGCCGGTCATCTGCCATCGACTTTTCCATCATTTTCTTCTCTTTGATTGAATGGTGGCTCTCACTTCCTCATAAATCCACCACAATTGCCCACATTTACTTGAATTTTCGTGTGTTCTGGTAGGTTGTCATCATCATCCTCATCGCTGTCTCCTCCTAGGGTTCTTTGCAGATGCAAAGTTTCTATTTCTTTTGAAATATTTTGACTAAGTAACGTGAGTGCATTATTGGCTTCGGCTATGAGTTGTACTTGCACTCTACTGTATCTGCATGCTCAATGAAAACTAAAACCTAATACCAAAGGGGTCGTGGTCCTATGCATAAAGGTCCTTTGGAATTCATCGATGGATAGTAATCATCTTAACAATCACCATCTCAAAATATGATCTCAAAGAATTGAAGAAGAACGCTTAACAGAGAAGAAAGAGAGAAAAACTTCAATATTTCTCATTAACTATTTTTTGTAGAATACAGAGTACTTAACCGACAATACAAGAAGGGGAAATAGTACTTATACTAACAGCTCAAATACATTGGCTTAAGACAGAAGCTACTATTGCACATGTGGCACTGCTGGCATGGCAAATCATACTTATCCAATACCCCCCCTCAATCTGAACTGAGGTAACTCAGTTGAAGATTGAAACAATGGCGCAAAAAAATCAGGACCATGAAGACCCTTGGTCAATACATCTGCAACCTGATTTTTAGTGCACAAATATTCAACAAGCAAATCACCCTTTTGAACTCGTTTGCGAATAAAATGGATGTCAATCTCCAAATGCTGAACAAGATTTAAACTCAAGGCAATTGCATATTGGTTATCACAATAGATCACTGGAGGAGAAAACAAATATTCATGTAAATCCTTAAGGATTAACCTGATCCAAGCAATGTCCACAGTAGTATGAGCCAAAGCACGATATTCAGCCTTGGTGGAACTGCGAGAAACAGAAAACTGTTTCTTGAACTACCACGAAATCAGATTATCTCCTAAATAAACAAAATAACCAGTAATGGAACACTGAGTATTCAAATATGCAACCTAATTAGAGTCATTGTAGGCTTTTAACTGCATAGGACTTCTAGAAGTATATGTCAAACCACAATGAATTGTGCCTTGGAGAAATCGCATAATTCTTTTCACCATTCCAAAATGGACATCAGTAGGTGCACTCATATATTGACAAACATTATTGACAGCAAAGGCTATATCTGGACGAGTAAAGGTCAAGTACTATAAAGCTACAACTAAACTCCGATATAAGTAGGATCAGGAGGCAAGGTACATTCAGTAGTTAAGATTTGATATGTGGTTTGCAAGGAGTTGAACATGATTTACAATCATCAATCCCAGCTTTATGGATAAGATCTTTGACATACTTGGCTTGACTAATGAACAAATCTCCATTAAGCTTATATATGACTTGAAGACCAAGAAAATAAGCTAATATGCCCATATTCTTAAGATCAAAAACCTCACTGAGAGTAGTAATCACAGACTGAATCAATGAAGTACTATAACCAGTGATTATGATGTCATCAACATAAAGAAGTAAAATAACTACATGAACCCCATACGTCTTTACAAACAAACTTGAATTGGATAGAGAAGCTTCAAAACCAATGGCTTGCACAAAACTAGTAAACTTGTCATTCCAGGCTCGAGGAACTTGTTTCAAGCCATATAACGATTTTACCAGTTTACAAACATGTGTAGCAAACTGAGAATTAACAAAACCTTGAGGTTGTTTCATATAAACCTCGTCGTGTAACTCACCATGAAGAAAAGCATTCTTTACGTCTAATTGACGAAGCTCCCACTTATGTATAGTTACTAAAGATAAAATCAATTGGACAGTAATATGTCGAACAACAGGGCTGAAAATCTCTATATAATCTAGACCTTTTTCTTGGCTAAAACCTTGGGCAACAAGCCTAGCCTTATATCGAGATATTGACCCATCACTATTCCTTTTAACTTTGTACACCCATTTACTGCCGATAACATTTTTATCACAAGGATGAGGAATAAGAACCCATATACCTTGAGTTTGAAGAGCATTAAACTCTTCCTGCATTGTCATTTGCCACTGTGGAATTTGAGAGACTTGTTTAAAAGTAGAGGGTTCTGAAACATCATGGTTATCTGCAATGAAAGTAAATCCTCCTGAAAAATGAGTATCATCATCAAGATGTAATGACTGAACTTCTGAAACACTGCTGTGACGGCTGAATAATCTCTTCTAGTAATAATACCAGTTCTTAATTTGGTTTGAATGCCTTGGGAAGGAATGACATTCTCTGAACTATAAGGATTAAAAACATTATTAGGAGGTAAGACAACCTCTAATTGATTGTGTGGAAGGACAGGCAACAATGTGTTGGGGTTGGAAAGAGTAGCATGAGAACTTGGGTCCTGTGCACGGCTGACATGTAGACTTGATTCTATACACTATTGGAAGAATTGGCATCTTGTTAATGAGGCATAGAATGAAGAGACTGACTAAGAGAAATTCCCTGTCTGCTAGAATCTGAATTTTCAGAAGTGGTATTTATATAAGGCAATTAAACAATAATGGGTCTCAACATAGTACGCGAAGAAGACTGAGATGAACTCTGAGTAGAACTACCTAACAATTCCACATAAGGAAGAGTACCTTCATCATAAATGACATGTCTGGAAAGAAAAATCTGCCATGTCAACACACTATAACAAATAGCACCTTTATAACCATATGAATAACCTAAGAATACACATTGTGTGGATCTAGATTGAAGTTTGTGGGCATTATATGGTCTGAGATAAGGGTAAATTGCACAGCCAAACACCTTCAAATTAGATAACTCAAGCCGTGTTCCAAACAGCTTGCCAAAAGGAGAATCCAACTTTAAAGTTTTACAAGGCATTCTATTAATAAAAGAGGCAGCATGAGCCACTTCATGATAC